TCTGGAAATGATGATGCATACAATGGACTCCGGACTAGGTGCGTTCCTCTAAGTCTTCCTACCAAAATGAATGAATTGCGAAAACAAGGTCAAACAACTTCTATACAACGAAAGGAGACTGCGACCACAAAAAAGGCCACACCATCTTGATCTTCATACCTGTGTATTCATCTTAGTTCATTGAAGGTAATAAGGCGACTGGTAATGGAATTTTTCCATAATTATGTGAGTGGCCTCTACGTGAATACATTTCATATATATGATCTACTGAAAGTCTCCAAAACCTGCTTGTAAACGAAGAACAACCATTGAGTTGAAAATGAGAGACAGCTTCAAATGTATCACGTATATTCTTTGGCGCTTCAAATAACTTTAAGGTTAATCCCCTAGACCGACTGCAGAAATGAGTTTGCTTGTCAATATCGCTGTGTTTACTGTAGGTTGATCAGTGAAGCACTCTACCTGAATACTTAGGATTCATTCCAACATAAGCCTTAATCATATTTGGTTTCACAATTTGGTTTAATGAATTGGGTGATGACATTTAGTAAACAACGCATTTAAAGGAAGCTATGAAACTTGAATTTTACATAAACTAAAATAAAGATTCTTTGTGCTTTTTTATAGAGAATTTATATGAGATAATTCCCTATTAATAAACTTAGTTGAGCTGGGTGATGAGATTTAGTAAAAAACGCATTGAAAGAAAGCTATGAAACTTGAATTTTTCATAAGCTAAATCATTTTCAATTGTTCCTATCTTGGTCAAGAGATAGGACAAATGATTTTCTGGTAAGTTTAATGACATGAAGGAATAAGCTGTTATAGCCTATATGTCTATCTCCAACTGAGGCCTTAGACTGTGTCGTTTGCCGTGTAGTGCCTATTTCTGAATCTTCACGATGTTGCCAATACGGACCAGGCCTTAATCAGTCTGTAATCCAGCCTGGATGACGGAGGGAAGGGAGAGAGAGAGAGTGAAATAGAGAGTGCCTGTAAATATGCCATTGGAAATTAAAGATTCTTTATGCTTTTTTATAGAGAATTTATATAATATATTTCCCTATTAATAACCTTAGTTGAGCTTCAACATCTACTCTGCTGAATAATATTTTATCAATTCAAGGTGACATGCCGATAGATGAAAAAGCTCCCATTAGCTTTATGAGGGAAATCCCCAATATACTACAAATTAGAATAAATTATTTTAAAATGTGCCCCCAAAATCAACTGTTGACAACTAATTTGAAATTTAATCTTAATTACCATACCTATATAAGCAGCACAACCATAGTAATCTAGATAAATGTACAGTTTTCGATTTTGTTCACTTTTAACTTTTGACTGATTCAGTTGTATAATCGAAGTATAAAGCTAACTTTATCTGCCGCTCTGCAGGACGATTTATTTTTATGCATTTAATACATGCAGTTTAGTTTCATATCACTTTTCAGAACCTTTCACCTGTTAATTATGTCCTAATGATGTCCAAGGATTTGGTTTCCGTGTAACTAAGGTCGAAGAGATCTGTAGATAGCTTTTTAACCAGAATATCTAGAGAATTAGGTGATCGGATGAGTGAAGTAATCTAGAATGTATAGTAAAGTAAATATAACATTTATCCATTATGAGCCTTAGTCGACAAGCCTAGAACTACATTTAAATGAAATAACTTTGGATCTTTATAAGTAAGACCTATATTCTAAGTCATATAATATTAAATTAGTAATCGGCTCAGGTCACTTTAATAAATACTACAACCTACTAAAAGCCTTAAGGTTACCCAAAAATATAAATAATATTATTACACCCTACGGTTAGCATTTGTTGAGAAGAGCTTAGCCAGAGAATTATCCGGTTTTAATCGTGATGGCCGGCAAAATAGTCATAAACCAAAAGGTTTAAGCCATGAAATTGATTTAAAATGAACCCCTTCTTGATAACCATCACGACTAGCTCAGTCCTCTAGGATTTTCACGAATTTCCACCAAAAATTAGGTAGTCTACTTTATCCAGACCTGGTGTACAGAAAGCCAGTGCTAAACATTCGCAGCAACTTGGCAGCCATGAAAATATCGCGATTAATGGCGATACCACCAAAAGTGCCATTCGTAATCTGTGGGTGAGAATTTTCTTTCCAGGTGGATTTATTCTTGGTGAGTATGGCCGACATTGTTGCTGATGAGAAATGCATTGATGTGCTCGGCACCGAGATCGCAGTATCTTTAATGCTATTCTCGGGTAAGCCAGTGGCATCATGTTCTGCACCGGTTGAACTTCTTATCCGAAAAAGATCTAATGCATCTAATGGCCAGCTTGTGGCTCTTCTCGTTTGACCGTATGAAAAAATTGTATTCCTATCTTCATCAAAGATTTGAGCCTGATTTGTCGAAAAATCATTCTCTTCCTCGGATTGCTCCTCAAAAACCGGGGTCTCAGCCAACTCCTTTGCATCTGCCCCATCAAAGCAAGGGTTTCTTGAAGTGCTCAATCTGCGGTAGACATGTTTGGAGAAGTAGAGGGACACTTCAGTGCCTGGAACCACCTCCAGGTCGATGTGGCGGTCGTAGGCACTGAAAGGAAGTTCACCGCGTTCGTGCGTAATCACCTTTATTGGCGGCATTTGGCCGGGCTGACCAGTAGCAATCGCCCCGGTGACTGGATCCTGTTGGATCTCAACATGAAGCCGGTTCCAGATGAGATCATGTGACCGAGCACGAAGTTCAAATGTAGTGCACAAGAAGTATAAGCTGTGCGGAATCTGAATGGATAAGAGATTGGAAAGGGAACAATGGAATTAGAGCACAATTTTGTATTCATATGGAAGAAGATCTTAGATAAGTACAAGAGTAGAAAAAGGAAAAACGAATACCAAACTAGATAGAATTTTTATTAGGTTCTGATTATTATCTCGTTATGCCTATCGCACAGGCAGCAATAGGTGATCTGATCTTAAACAAAATGGATGATTGGGCCAAATTCATACGTTTATTGACTTTTAAAAGAAAATTTAAGTGTTAGTTTAAAATTTTAATCAGAAACTAATCTTTACATAAAAATTTATTTCAAGAAATCTCGTCAAAAATAGCAAGATATTCGTCATTCCTAATAGATGTATTCACTATATTTCGTTTAAGTTAGTGAAGGACTGGCAATTGAATTTTCCCACAATTATATGAATTGAGCTGACGCTTGCATTGAATTTCGCATAGCCTTGTCTTCCCAAAAGGTAATGAGATGTATTCACCCTATTTCTTCTAAGGTGATGAAGGACTGGTAGTAGAATTTTCCCACAATGATATGAGTTGAGCTGACGCTTTCCATTGAATTTAACATAGCCTTGCTTTCCCAAGGTTGTTCTCATCCAGGGTGGACTGCAGTTTCGACCTCGCATCGGTCTTATCAACACCCCCAGGTGGACTCGAACCATCACATGGCAACCTGTAATCTCGACACTAGAGCAAAGTTATATTTGCTTAAGCAATCGACTACGCTATTTATTTTTGATAATCTCACCAAAGAATGTGATATAGAGAAATGCCAGGTCTACATTAAAATCCACCTCTGCCCTGTGATCAAAAGGGCATTCACGGCAATGTGGTGCAATGGCTACCATATCGAGATTACACGCTACACCGTCATGTATCGAGTCCCGCTGGGGTTAGTGCTAAGATCTATGCGAAGTCGAAACTGCAGTCCACCTTGGATAGAACAACTTTTGGAAAAGCAAGGCTATGCTAAAGTCAATAGAAGCGTCAGCTCTACTCATATGATTGTGGAAAAATTTGAATACCAGTCCTTCATCACTTTAAATGAAATTGTGTGAATATATATCTCATATAAATGATTTATTGGTACTTTCGAAACCATACTAATAAACGAAAAATTACCCATTTATGTTTGCACATTTTAACTAAAACACTTTTAGAGCAACATAATATATTTTATTTTTGCCTATACATAAAGAAGAACAGTTAATTTGCACGATCGGATCAAATATCGTTGAGTGACTGATATGCTTAACCATGTTAATAAAAGCTTGGATTGCACATAGCAAACGAAATTTTATTCCGTTAATTGCAAGTTTGGTACCAAGGGAGGTTGATCCATTACATGCTTTCGGTAAAAAATAAATTCAGTCTATGCAGAATGTCGCCAAATTCATTGAAGACAGTGCATCGGGTATCGGGGTGACAATTGTCTGGCAGCAATACATCACCCAAAAAGGGAGTTATGAGGTTAACGAAATGAGTGGGCAATGACTGATCACAGTAAAAGGTACTTTAAGTTAATTATGCGTTGCAGTATATAAACAATTGGAAATGTATAAACAACTTTTATCTATATTTAAAATGATTCGAACAAAACTTCATTCATATAAAGTATGGGTAGTTTAGAATAAACTAAAATACATGTACTTCGTAAGGAACAGATACAGATTGCTACCGTTTTTAACTCTTCTTAATCCATAGCTGACATCTTATATGGACGGTATTACTTCGAAAAAGGTAATATTTTCGACGCAATAAATGCAGTTTACTGTTATTTGAATTAAAAGTTTGCTGAATTATAGCTAATCTTTGTTGGGAAATCAAGGGTGAAGCTAAACGTAGCGTCTGTAAATGAAAATAATTTATGAATCAAGTAAGTTTGAGTGGTCCTATTAAGCTTTAACACCGAACTTTCTGTAGTCTAACCCACTAAGATAAACAGGATTTCTGCTTTTCATGCCATATAACATACCAAAATCAATGCATTATGAATCGAAATCGTGAAAAAGCTTCTTCCTACGAATTGGAGACAGTCTTTTGTTCACACCTTAATTTCCATCGTTTAATCATGATGAAGATTTTATTTAAAAGCTCTAGCCCATTTAAAAGAAGCTATATTGCATCTCACTTATAATACCACCTTGCATATGCATGATCCACATCGTCAAACATACTAAAT